CCCCGGCGCCGAGGAGATGGAGGTGGCCATGGGCAAATCCCGCGCCAAGGCCGTGAGTGGGAATGGGGAGCGGTCCACGGGATAAAGCTTTGTTACAGGCTCTTCCCATCCCGGATCCGTGAATTCTGGGCTTTTCCCGTTCCCAGACCATGAACGACTTCGATTACCTGAAGCTCCTGGGAAAAGGGACCTTTGGAAAGGTCATCCTGGTGCGGGAAAAGGCCACCGGGCGCTACTACGCCATGAAGATCCTGCGGAAGGAGGTCATCATCGCCAAGGTGGGGCCGGGATCCGCGTGGATCCGCACCGGGATCACCCCGGCGTTCCCTGCGCGTCCCGGCACTGACTGCACCTCCCTTCCCAGGATGAAGTGGCTCACACCGTGACCGAGAGCAGGGTGCTGCAGAACACCCGGCACCCCTTCCTCACCGTGAGCACCGCCCCCCCCACCCCAGCCCCTCCATCCCTATGGAGCTTCCCTAAAATCCCCCTTTTCCAGGCGCTGAAATACGCTTTCCAGACCAACGACCGCCTCTGCTTTGTCATGGAATACGCCAACGGTGGCGAGGTGGGAGCTGACCCCCTTTATCCCAGTGTATCCCGCTTTATCCCTGAAGTCTCCCTTCAGGAGCGTTCCCCATCATCCACAGGGATTGGGGAGCGTTTTAAAGCCTTCCTTGATCCCGATTCTCCCGTTTTCCCTGCCCATTCCCAGCTCTTTTTCCACCTCTCGAGGGAACGCGTCTTCACCGAGGATCGGGCCCGCTTCTACGGCGCTGAGATCGTCTCGGCCTTGGAATACCTCCATTCCCGGGATGTGGTGTACCGGGATATCAAGGTACCGCTGCCACTTCAGCCCTTGCCTTGGCCCTCCTGCGCCTGGTCCCGATCCCAATCCTGATCCCAGTCCTGGATCTGATCCTGATCCTGGTACTGGGTCTGATCCCGATCGCAATCCTGGTCCTGGTCTTGATCCTGATCCTAATTCCGGTCCCTGTCCCGATCCTGTTCCTGGTCCCAATCCTGATTCTGGTCCTGATCCTGATCCCAGTCCTGGTACTGGGTCTGTTCCTTACCCTGGTTCCAGTCCTGATCCCAGTACCAGTCCTGACCCTGATCCCGGTACCGATCCTGATCCCGGTCCCTCTCTCAGTCCCAATCCTGATCCTGATCCTGGTCCCAGTCCTGATACCGGTCCCTATCTGAGCCCCAATCCAGATCCTGATCCTGGTCCCAGTCCTGATCCTGGTTCTGCTTCCCTCCCTGAGCTTTGTGCGGTGGGGGCTGCATCCTTCCCGCTCCATCCCTATTCCTTCTTTTCCAGCTGGAAAACCTGATGCTGGACAAGGACGGGCACATCAAGATCACTGACTTCGGCCTCTGCAAGGAGGGCATCAGCGACGGCGCCACCATGAAGACCTTTTGTGGCACCCCGGAGTACCTGGCGCCGGAGGTATCCGTGCCCGTATCCATAGGGATAACACCCCCATAGCAAGCACTTCTCTGCCTGTATCCATAGTGATAACACCCCCATAGGGAGGGTATCCCTGCCTGTATCTATAGGGATAACAACCCCACAGCCCGTATCCATAGCAACACCCCCATAAAGAGCACATCCCTGCCCATATCCATAGGGATAACAACCCCATATCCCGTATCCGTAGCAACACCTCCATAGCGAGCGCATCCCTGCCCGTATCCATAGTGATAACACCCCCATAGGGAGGGTATCCCTGCCTCCATCCATCCCATAGGGAGGGTGTCCCTGCCCGTATCCATAGGGATAACAACCCCATAACCCGTATCCATAGCAACACCCCCATAGCGAGCACATCCCTGCCTCCATCCATACCATAGGAAGAGTATCCCTGCCCGTATCCATAGGGATAACAACCCCATAGCCCGTATCCATAGCAACACCCCCACAGCGAGCACATCCCTGCCTCCATCCATCCCACAGGGAGGGTATCCCTGCCCATATCCATAGGGATAACAACCCCATAGCCCGTATCCATAGCAACACCCTCATAGCGAGCGCATCCCTGCCCGTATCCATAGGGATAACAACCCCATAGCCCGTATCCATAGCAACACCCTCATAGCGAGCGCATCCCTGCCCATATCCATAGGGATAACAACCCCACAGCCCGTATCTATAGCAACACCCCCATAGCGAGCGCATCCCTGCCCGTATCCATCATGATAACAACCCCATATCCCGTATCCGTAGCAACACCTCCATAGCGAGCGCATCCCTGCCCGTATCCATAGTGATAACACCCCCATAGGGAGGGTATCCCTGCCTCCATCCATCCCACAGGGCGGGTATCCCTGCCCATATCCATAGGGATAACAACCCCATAGCCCGTATCCATAGCAACACCCCCACAGCGAGCACATCCCTGCCTCCATCCATCCCACAGGGAGGGTATCCCTGCCCATATCCATAGGGATAACAACCCCATAGCCCGTATCCATAGCAACACCCTCATAGCGAGCGCATCCCTGCCCGTATCCATAGGGATAACAACCCCATAGCCCGTATCCATAGGGATAACAACCCCATAGCCCGTATCCATAGCAACACCCCCATAGCGAGCGCATCCCTGCCTCCATCCATCCCACAGGGCGGGTATCCCTGCCCATATCCATAGGGATAACAACCCCATAGCCTGTATCCATAGCAACACCCCCATAGCGAGCGCATCCCTGCCCGTATCCATCGCGATAACACCCCGGGGCCTCATCCTGCCCCCCCGCAGGTGCTGGAGGACAACGACTACGGGCGCGCCGTGGACTGGTGGGGGCTGGGGGTGGTGATGTACGAGATGCTCTGCGGCCGCCTCCCCTTCTACAACCAGGACCACGAGCGCCTCTTCGAGCTCATCCTGCTCGAGGAGATCCGCTTCCCCCGCAGCCTCGCGCCCGACGCCAGGGCCCTGCTGGCCGGGCTGCTCAAGAAGGACCCCAAGCAGAGGTGAGGTGGGGGGGAGGTGACTGATCCTGAGCCTGGTCCTGAGCCCGGTCCTGGTCCTGGTCCTGATCCTGATCCCAGTCCTGGTCCTGGTCCTGATCCTGGTCCTGATCCCACTCCTGGTCTTGATCCTGATCACAGTCTTGGATCTGATCCTGATCCTGATCATGGTCCTAATCCTGGTCCTGATCCTGATCCCGGTTCTGAGCCTGGTCCTGGTCTTGATCCCATTCTTGGATCTGGTCCTGGGCTTGAACCTGGTCCTGATCCCAGTCCTCATCCTGGTCCTGGGCTTGATCCTGATTCCAGTCCTTGTCCTGATCCTGATCCCAATCCTGGTCCCAGTCCTGATCCTGCTCCTGGTTCCAATCCCAGTCCTGATCCCAGTTCTGATGCTGGTCCTGATCCCGATCCCAATCCCGATCCTGATCCTGGTCCTGATCCCGGTCCCCATCCTGATCCCGGTCCTGTTCCCCGGGCAGGCTCGGGGGGGGGCCCAGGGACGCGCAGGAGGTGATGGAGCACCGCTTCTTCGCGCCCATCAACTGGCAGGACGTGGTGCAGAGGAAGGTGAAGGCCCCCGGGGGCACCCTGACCCCCCCCAGCACCCACAGGCACCCTGACCCCCCCCCATAGCACCCAGAGGGACCAAAACCCCCCCATAGCATCCACGGGGACCCAAACCCCTCCACAGCTCCTAAAGGGACCCAAACACCCCCATAGCACCCAGAGGGACCAAAACCCCCCCATAGCACCCATGGGGACCCAAACCCCTCCACAGCTCCTAAAGGGACCCAAACACCCCCATAGCACCCAGAGGGATCCAACCCCCCCCCCCATAGCACCCAGAGGGACCCAAACCCCTTCATAAAACCCAAAGGGACCCCAAAACCCCCATAGCACCCAGAAGGACCCAAACCCCTTCATAAAACCCAAAGGGACCCCAAAACCCCCATAGCACCCAGAAGGACCCGAACCCCCCATAGCAACCAGGGGGGCCCCATAGCACCCAAAGAGACCCAATCGCCCCCCAGCACCCAAGGGGGCCCCCCCGCACTCATGGGTGCCCCCCCCCCCGCAGCTGGTGCCCCCCTTCAAGCCGCAGGTGACGTCCGAGGTCGACACCCGCTACTTCGATGACGAGTTCACGGCGCAGTCCATCACCATCACCCCCCCCGACCGCTGTGAGCGGGGCCCGGGGTGGGGGGGGACCCACACAGGGGCTGGGACCTCCCATTGGGCACCATGGGGGGCTGGGACCTCCCATTGGGCACCATGGGGCGGCTGGGAGCTTCCATTGGGCACCATGGGGGGGCTGGGAGCTTCCATTGGGCACCATGGGGCGGCTGGGAGCTTCCATTGGGCACCATGGGGGGGCTGGGACCTCCCATTGGGCACCATGGGGGGGCTGGGAGCTTCCATTGGGCACCATTGGGGGGGTTTAGGGGTGCTGGGAGGTTCCATATGGGGGGTTTGGGGGTGCTGGGTCCTCCCATTGGGCACCACTGGGGGGAGTTATGGGGTGCAGGGAACCCCATGGGGGCATTGATGAGGGGCTGGGAGCCCCCATTGGGCACTAGTGTGGGGGACTGGGGTGCTGGGACCGCCATGGGGGTGTTTGGGGGGTGCCGTGGGCACCATTGGGGGGCTTTAGGGGTGCTGGGAGCTTCCATATGGGGGGTTTGGGGGTGCTGGGTCCTCCCATTGGGCACCATTGGGGGGAGTTATGGGGTGCAGGGACCCCCATCTGGGGGAGCTGGGAGCCCCCATTGGGCACCACTGTAGGGGATTGGGGTGCTGGGACCCCCATGGGGGGGTTTGGGGGTGCTGGGATCTCCCATTGGGGGGGTCTGGGGGTGCCCCCCCCTCACCCCCTCGCTGTTCCCCGCAGACGATGCCCTGGGCTCCCCGGAGGGTGAGCACCGGACGCACTTCCCGCAGTTTTCCTACTCCGCCAGCATCCGGGAATGACGGAGCCGGAGCCGGGGGGGGGGGAACGGGACCTAGAGGGCAGGACCCCCCCCCAATGGGCTCCATCCAGCCCCACGCTGCTGGCTCTGCCTTGAAGCCAATTGGATCCCAAGCGGATCCCAAGCGGAACTCAACGGGATCCCAAGAGGATCCCAACCAGATCCCAGCAGGGACTCAACTGGATCCCATCCGGATCCTAATCAAGACTCAACTGGATCCCAAGCGGATCCCAACTGAACCTCAACCAGATCCCAACCGGATCCCAATCAGGACTCAGCTGGATCCCAAGTGAAACACCAGGATCCCAACCGGGACTCAGCTGGGTCCCCGCCGGGATTCAACTGGATCCCAACCAGCACTCAGCTGGATCCCAACCGGGATTCAACCAGATCCCAACCAGCACTCAGCCGCATCCCAACTGGCTCCCAACTGGGATTCAACCAGATCCCAACCAGGACTCAGCCGCATCCCAACTGGATCCCAACTGGGATTCAACCAGATCCCAACCAGCACTCAGCTGCATCCCAACTGGATCCCAACCGGGACTCAGCCGCACCCCAACTGGATCCCAACCGGGATTCAACCAGATCCCAACCAGGACTCAGCCGCATCACAACTGGATCCCAACCGGATCCCAACCAGGACTCAGCCGCATCACAACTGGATCCCAACTGGATCCCAGCCGGATCCCAACCAGGACTCAGCCGCATCCCAACTGGTTTCCAACTGGAATTCCACCAGATCCCAACCAGGACTCAGCCGCATCCCAGCCGGATCCCAACCAGGACTCAGCCGCATCCCAACTGGATCACAACCGGATCCCAACCAGGACTCATCCACATCCCAACTGGTTTCCAACTGGAATTCCACCAGATCCCAACCAGGACTCAGCCGCATCCCAACCGGAATTCCACCGGATCCCACCCAGATCCCCCCATGGCTGTGGGGATGGACGCCGCCCCCCCTGCCCTGAACCCCCCCCCCCCACCATTTGGCTTCGCCGGTGCCTTACCCGCGGTGACGGCGTCACTGGATCCCATTCCCGGTATTCCCGGTATTCCCGGCCGGCCTCACGGGGTGAACTGACTCAAAGTGGGGGGGAGGGGGGGCAAAATGGGGGATCCCCCCTCCCCCACCCCCCTTCCTGCCCCTCCCCCCCCCCCAGGCGGTACGAGCAATAAACCGGGAATTTTTTGGGATTTGGGGCGTTTTTTGGTGCTGTTTTTGGGGGATCCGGATGCGGCTCCCGGGCTGGGGGGGGGGGGGCTCAGAGGTGCAGGAATTCCGCCACGAAGACGAGCAGGATGCGGGTGAGATCCACGAGCGTCGGCGGGTGCAGGTTCCGCTCCGTGTCGTCGGCGGTGTGCCAGGCCGGCGGGAAGGGCAGCGGGATCAGGTGCAGCACCGGCACCCCTGCGGCACCAACGGGATAACCGGGTATTTGGGGTAGGGGGTATGGGATAGGGGGTATAGGGAATGGGATATGGGATATATGGGGTATGGGATATGGGACATGGGATTGGGATATCGGATATAGGATGTGGGACATGGGATATGGGATATAGAATATGGGATATAGGATATATGGGGTATGGGATATAGGGAATATGGGATATAGAATATGGGACATGGGATTGGGATATGGGATATAGGATGTGGGATATTGGATATGGGATATGAGATATGGGATATAGGATATGTGACACAGAATATGGGGTATGTGATATAGGATGTGGTATATAGGATATGGGGTATAGGATACAGGATATAGGATCTGGGATATAGGATATGGGATATAGGGATATGGGATATCAGATATGGGATACGGGATATGGGATATAGGATATGGGATACAGGATATGGTGTATGGAATATATGATACAGGATACGGGATACAGGATATGAGATACAGGATATGGGATAACGGGATATGGGATATAGAATATGGGATATAGGATACTGGGTACGGGATGTGGGACGTGGTACCCAGGCGCACCTCTCTGCAGGAAGGGGATGTGATCGTCCTCCACGGGCCCCGGGGCCGGGCTGAGGCGGAAGAAGGGGGGGTCCTGGGGGGTGGCGTGGAGCAGCCCCATGCGCCGCAGCCGCTGCTCTGGGGGAAGGGGGGAACGTGAGGTCTGAGACCCCTCCCCCCCCGTGCCCCACGTCCCCCCCAGGTCCTTCACCCCACACACAACCCCCCCCGATGCGCACCGATGTGGACGAGGCGCAGGAACCAGTGGTGGGTGCTTGGGAAGTGGCTGTGGATGGCGGGGTCCCGAGCGCCCAACAGGTCCAGCAGCACCAGCAGGCTCTGGGGACAGCAATGGGGCATCAGTGGGGGCAGCAATGGGGCATCAGTGGGGGCAGCAATGGGGTTGTCAAAGGGGACATTAATGGGGGATGTCAATGGGGACATTAATGGGGGATGGCAATGGGGCATCAGTGGGGGCAGCAATGGGGCATCAGTGGGGACAGCAATGGGGTTGTCAAAGGGGACATTAATGGGGGATGTCAATGGGGACATTAATGGGGGATGGCAATGGGGCATCAGTGGGGGCAGCAATGGGGCATCAGTGGGGGCAGCAATGGGGCATCAGTGGGGACAGCAATGGGGCATCAGTGGGGACAGCAATGGGGCATCAGTGGGGGCAGCAATGGGGCATCAGTGGGGACAGCAATGGGGTTGTCAACGGGGACATTAATGGGGGATGTCAATGGGGACATTAATGGGGGATGTCAATGGGGACATCAATGGGGGCAGCAATGGGTGTATCAATGGGGACGTCGATGGGGACATCAATGGGGATGTCAATGGGGACATTAATGGCAGATGTCAATGGGGACATCAATGGGGACAGCAGTGGGGATAGCAATGGGGACAGCAATGGGGGTGTCAATGAGGACATCAATGGGGACATGGCGACAGCAATGAGAGCATGGGGACATCAAGGAAAACACGGAGACATCAGCATGGGAACCCCACTTATGGCCATGGGGACACCAACAGCACCATGGGGACACCACTATGGCCACGGTGACACTGGCATGGCCATGGGGCCCCCCTTGTGCCCATAGGGACTCCCCTGTTCCTATAGGGACCCCCCTGTGCCCATAGGGACCCCACTAAGCCCACAGGGACCCCGGGCTCACGATGGCGCTGAGCTGGGTGCCGGGGCCGCCGCGGTGCCGCGTGGCTGCCATGCGCGCCGCCAGGTGCCGGGCCCCGTACAGGGAATCGGTGGCGCTCCAGGCCTCGAAGGCCTCCTCCCCATCCAGGAAGAGGAGCTGCAGCGTGGCCTCGGCGCCCTGCAGGGTAACAACGGGATAATGGGATAACGGGATGGGGGTTAACGGGATGGGGGATACGGGATAACGGGATGGGGGATGCGGGATAACGGGATGGGTTATAATGGGATAACAGGATGGGGGATAATGGGATAACTGGATGGGGGATAACGGGATGGGGGATAACGGGATGGGGGATAACGGGATAACGGGATGGGGGATAATGGGATAACGGGATGGGGGATAATGGGATGGGGGATAACGGGATGGGGGATACGGGATAATGGGATGGGAGATACGGGATGGGGGATACGCGATGTGGGACATGGGATCCCCAATATGGTACATGGGAATCCCACTGTAGCCCATTTCACCCTCATTATGGCCCATTTCACCCCATTATAACCCATAGGGACCTCATTATAACCCATTTCACCCCATTATAACGCATAGGGACACCACTGTAACCCATAAGGACACATTATATCCCATTTCACCCCATTATAACCCATAGGAACCGCATTATGTCCCATTTCAGCCCATTATAACCCATAAAGGCCCCATTATAACCCATAGGGGCCCCATTATAACCCATAGGAACCCCATTATCACCCATAGAGACCCCCTTATAACCCACTGCACCCCATTGCAGCCCATAGGGACCCCATTCTAACCCATAAGGACCCTATTCCAACCCATAGGGACGCCATTCTACCCCATAGGGAGCCCATTATACCCCTAGGGGACCCAACTCTGCCCCATGGGGCCCCCTCCCGGCGCCCACCTCATCCCGGGCGCGGCGCAGGGGCCGCTCGAGCGCTGCCGCCAGCTCGAGGATGGCGGCGCAGGGCGCAGCTGAGTCCACGGCGCCCACGAAGGGGGCGGCCGCCGGCAGCACCTTGGTGTCGTAGTGGCAGGCGAGGGCCAGGCGCCGCGCGGCGCCGGGGGCCGCCGTGGCCACCACGTTGGTGAAGGGGACGGGGCCCCGTGGCGTGGCCGCGGTGAAGGCGTCGAGCTCCACGTGCCAGCCCAGCGCCTCCAGGCAGGCGGTGATGTGCTGCGGGGCGTTAGGCAAGGGGGTCAGCGGGGTCATGGGGGGTCAGTGGGGGTCAATGGGGGTCAATGGGAGGCAATGGGGGTCAATGGGGGTCAACAGGGGTCAATGGGGGTCAATGAGGATCAATGGGGATCAATGGGGGTCAATGGGGGATCAATAGTGATCAATGGGGTCACTGGAGGTCAATGGGGGTCAATGGGTGTCAATGGGTGTCAATGGGGATCAATGGGTGTCAATGGGAGTCAACGGGTTCAACAAGGATCAATGGGGGTCAATGGGGATCAGTGGTGGACAAGTAGGGATCAACATCATCATCAGTGGATGTCAATGGGGATCAGTGGGGTCAATGGGGATAAACAGGTATCAATGGGCATCAATGGGTATCAATGGCAATCAATGGCGATCAATGTCTATCAATGGGGGATCAATGGGGATCAATAGGGATTAATGAGGACCATTAGGGGTCAATGGCAATCAATGGGCATCAGTGGATCCCAACGGATCAATGGGGATCAGTGGGGATCAGTGGAGGTCAATGGGCATTACCTGGCGCACGGCGCGGCTCCCCGGCCCCCCCGGCACCCGCTCCCGCAGGAAGGGCCTCAGGAAGCGCCGCTGGAGCCGGGATGGATCCAAACGCTCCAGGAGCTGCCGCAGGGACCGGTCCGAGGAGGGGGGGGGCACGGAGGGGGGGAGCTGGAACAGGGGCAAATGGGGAGGGGGTGGTTTGGGTGCCCCTATAACGGGGTGCGGGGGGGTCTGGGTGCTCCCATGATGGGGTCTGGGGGGGTCTGGGGGCCATTGGGGGGTCTGGGTGCCCCCATGATGTGGTCTGAGGGGATCTGGGGGCCATTGGGGGGTCTGGGGGCCATTGGGGGGGTCTGGGTACCCCCATGATGGGGTCTGAGGGGGTCTGGGGGCCATTGGGGGAGTCTGGGTGCCCCCATGATGGGGTCTAGAGGGTTCTGGGTGCCACTGTGGGGGTCTGGGTGCCACTGGGGGGATCTGGGTGCCCCCATGATGGGGTCTAGAGGGGTCTGAGGGCCACTGGAGGGTCTGGGTACCCCCATGATGGGGTCTAGAGGGGTCTGGGTGCCATTGGGGTCTGGGTGCCATGATGGGTGGGGGGGGTCTGGGTGCCTGGGTGGGTGCCACTGGGGGGGTCTGGGTGCCCCCATGATGGGGTCTAGAGGGGTCTGGGTGCCATTGGGGGGGTTTGGGTGCCCCCATGATGGGGTCTAGAGGGGTCTGAGTGCCATTGGGGGGGCCTGGGTGCCACTGGGGGGGTCTGGGTGCCCCCATGATGGGGTCTGGGGCTCGGGGGTTCTCAGGGATGTTGGGGTCCGTGGGGTCCCGATGGCGTCCGTGGGGTCCCGATGCCCCCCCCCCCCCGCTCACCGGGCCGCGGTCCCGCTCCCCCCGGGGCCAGGCGCTGTAGAGGAGCCCGGCGGCGGCCGCCAGCGCCAGCAGCGGCAGCAGCGGCCGCGGGCAGCGGCGGGGCCGGGGGCAGAGCCCGGCAGCGGCCACCGCGACCGGGACCGGGACCGGGGCGGGCCCCGAACCCGCGGCCCGCGGGCGGCGGGACCCTGCGGCGCCCTTCCGCATGGCGAGGGGCGGGGCCAGCGGGAGACGGGGCCGCCGCGGATTGGGCGATGGGGAGGGCTCGGACCCGCCCCCTTCTGGTCCGCGAGCGGCGCGCCCGGAGCCTGGGCGGAGCGGCGTCGGTGTGATGTCATGGGCAACGTGTGACGTCACGGTGACGGGGGGGGTGTCCCCGATATGATGTCACCGGCACCCTCCATAGGGTTATTGCTATGGGGCCAGCATCCTCCATAGGGTTATTGCTATGGGGCCATCACCCTCCATAGTATTATTGCTATGGGGCCAGCATCCTCCATGGGGTCACTGCTATGGGGCCAGCGTCCTCCATAGGGATATTGCTATGGGGCGAGCAACCTCCGTAGGGTTATTGCTATGGGGCCAGCATCCTCCATAGGGTTATTGCTATGGGGCCAGCATCCTCCATAGGGTTATTGCTATGGGGCCAGCATCCTCCATAGGGATATTGCTATGGGGCGAGCACCCTCCATAGGGTTATTGCTATGGGGCCAGCATCCTCCATAGGGATATTGCTATGGGGCCAGCACCCTCCATGAAGCCATTAAGCATCCTCCGTGGGGCAATTGCTATGGGCCCAGCACCCGCCATGGGGCCAGCATCCTCCATAGGGTTATTGCTGTGGGGCCAGCATCCTCAATAGGGTCACTGCTATGGGGTGAGCATCCTCCATAGGGTTATTGCTATGGGGCCAGCATCCTCCATATGGTTATTGCTATGGGGCCAGCATCCTCCATAGGGATATTGCTATGGGGCCAGCATCCTCCATAGGATCATTGTCTTTGGGCCAGCACCCTCCATAGCATCATTGCTAAGAGGCCAACACCCTCCATAGGGTCAGTGCTATAGGGGAAGCACCCTCCATAGGGTCACTGCCATGGGGCCAGCGCCCTCTATGAGGCCATTACCATGAGGCCAGCATCCACCATGGGGTCATCACCATGGGACCATAGGGTCATTGCCATGGGTCCAGGACCCTCCATTGGTCCAGCACCTTCTGTAGGATCATTGCCATGGGGCCAGCATCCTCCATGGGGTCATTGCCATGGGTCCAGCACCCTCCATGGGTCCAGCACCTTCTGTAGGATCATTGCCATGGGGCCAGCATCCTCCATGGGGTCATCACCACAGGGCCAGCATCCTTCATGGCGCCAGCATCCCCACCCCCATGCCAAACTGACCCCCCCCGGCATTTCCACACCAAAATCGCTCTTTTTGGTTTTCATTTTCTTTTCTTCCTCCTCCATCACCCCAACCCCTCGCCCCCCCCCCCCCTCCCCCGGACCCCCCCATTCCCCCCCCCTCCCCCTTCACCTCCCATCGTCACGCCGCGGCGCCGGATGCACCCAGTGGTTATCGTGCAGCCCCACGCGGCAGCCCGGCGCCTCCTTGTCGGGCCGGCGGCAGCACATCCAATAGGAGCGGCCGTAGGGCAGGTCGTGGTGGTAGGGCTTGGGGTGCCAGCGGCACAGCGACACGTCCCCCTTCTCGTAGCGCTTGCGGCACTGCTTGCAGGGGTCGTCGCGGTAGAGCGGGTCCCGGGTCCACCGCGAGTCGGTGGCGCGGACGCCGAAGGTCTCGATGAGGGACTTGAAGTAGTGGCAGGAGCACTTGAGGGCGGCCAGCGCCTGGGTGGGCAGGTAGCTGAAGATCTTCACCATGACGTGCTCCGGCAGCAGCAGCATGTACTGCCGCGGCTCCAGCAGGCGCTGGATCTTGAACCGGATCTCCAGGAAGTCATGGGACACGTGGCGGTACAAGCGGCACAGCGACGGGTCGGCTGCCGACGACACCGCCTCCGGGTCCGGTGCCGCCGCCGCCGCCGGTTCGTCGGCGATGGGGAAGAGGAAGAGCTGCCCCGGTGGCGGCGGCGGCGGCGGGGAGGGCTCGTCCTTGGGTGCCGCCGGCAGCCGCACCGTCTCCTCTGTCACCTGCTTGGCGCTGTCCTTGCCATAGAACACGCACTGGTCCACGACGCCGGTCACCACCACGTCCACGTGAAAGCCGGCAGCACAATCCCGCCCCGGCGCCGCCTCCGCCGAGCCCTCGCACGTGTCCGCCTTGGCCGACGGTGACGCCGCACCCTCGCCGCGCGCCGCGGTGCTGGCATCGCCGTCCCCACCATCGCCCTTGGGCCCGGCGGCGGCCAGGAGCAGCTCCACGTTGGTGGGGAGCACGTCCCGGGAGGGGCTGATCAACCGGTACAGGTCGCACGTGATCTTGTCCTTGGCGCGGCCGCCGGTGCCGGTGCCGCTCACGAACACACAGCCGGGCCGGGCGGCACCGCCAGGATCGGGGCCGGCGGCGGGGCCGGCGCGGGGCTCGCGGCCGCTGGCAATGCGGAAGGCGATGCGGACCTCGCCGGGCGCCGCCGGGGCCGCTGCCGCGGTGCATTCAGCGCCAGGCCGGCACAAGCCGTTGGGCCTGGCGGCGCCATCGCGGTGCCGCGACTCGAAGTGGGCGACGGCCTCGGCCACGCGGCTGCAGTCGGCGGCGCTTGGCGCTTTGGCGTCGCCGGCCGGCGCCTCCAGCAGCACCGGGGGGAAGCTCTGCAGCGCCAGCGCCGCGCGCTGCTCCACCAGCGCCACCATCTCCGCCACCGACACCAGCTCGGGCGCCTCAGCCGCCTCCTCGCCGGCGCCCACCGCGCTCACCTTGGCCTTGACGGGCTCGTGGCAGCGCCGGCGCCGCTTGGCTTTGGAGCTGCCGCTGCCCCAGTTGCCCTTCACCTTCATGGTGCTGGCGCGGGCGCCGCACTGGTGCGCCACGAAGAAAGCCACCTTCTCCTTGGTGTTGCCGGGCTTGATGACGTACCACGTGTCCAGCAGCACCCGGCCCTCCTCCGACGCTGGCGTTGGCGGTGCCGGCGGTGCCGCGGCGGCAGGCTCTGCAGTGCCGGTGCCGGTGCCGGGCGGCGGCGTGTTCTCGGTGTGGCGGCAGGAGGGGCTGAAGGGTTTCTTGGCGCTGCCGGGACCGGCGCATGGCTTGTTCTGGCTGTAGGTGCCGAAGGGCCGCGGGCACCAGAGCTGCAGCTGCGGGAAGGCGTTGGGCTCCATCAGGGCTGCATGGCACTGCTGGGGCAGCCGCCGCGGCGCCGGCGCTGCCGGGAGGAGAGCGCTGTTAGCGAGGATGCTGGGGCCGCTATGGGGCTGCTAGGGGGCTGATGGGGTCAGTATGGGGCTAGTATGAGGTTGATGGGGCTGGTATGGGGCCAGCATGGACCCCCTATGGGGCTGGTGGGACGAGAATGGACATGCTATAGAGCTTGTGGGACCAATATGGACCCAATATGGGGCTGGTGGCATGAGAATGGACAAGCTATGGTGCTGGTGGGACCAGTATGGACCCATATGGTGCTGGTGGGGCTGGTGGGATCAGTATGGACCCATATGAAGCTGGTGGGACCAGTATGGATCCACTATGGGGCTGGTGGGACCACTGTGGACCCACTATGGGGCTGGTGGGACCAGTATGGACCCATATGGTGCTGGTGGGACCATGGACCCACTGTGGGGCTGGTGGGATCAGTATGGACCCATATGAAGCTGGTGGGACCAGTATGGATCCACTATGGGGCTGGTGGGACCACTGTGGACCCACTATGGGGCTGGTGGGACCAGTATGGACCCATATGGTGCTGGTGGGACCAGTATGGACCCACTGTGGGGCTGGTGGGATCAGTATGGACCCATATGAAGCTGGTGGGACCAGTATGGATCCACTATGGGGCTGGTGGGACCACTGTGGACCCACTATTGGGCTGGTGGGACCAGTATGGACCCATATGAAGCTGGCGGGACCAGTATGGATCCACTATGGGGCTGGTGGGACCACTGTGGACCCGCTATGGGGCTCGTGAGACCAGAATGGACCCCCGGTGTGGCTGGTGGGACAGAATGGACCCAATATGGGGCTGGCAGGACCAGAATGAAGCCCCTATGGGGCTGGTGGGACCAGCAAGGACCCTCTATGGGGCTGTGGGTCCCGCTGTGGGTCCCATAGGGTGACCCCAATGCCCCCCCATGCTTTGCACACGCCCCCCACGCCCCGCCCCCGGCCTCGCCCTCACCCCAAGCCCCGCCCCCTCACCGCACCTTGCCCTTAAAGCGCCCGCGGCGCGACCGGCGCCAGGCCCCGCCCCTCGCCTGCTGCCACGCCCCCTTAACCACCGCGCCGGCCAATCAGGCAGCCGCGTTCGGGCCATGCCCATATATAGACGGCGGCAGCGAAGTGGCCCGAGGGGGCGCGGCCGGAGCCCGCGGGGGGCGTGGCCGGCGCTTAGGGAGGCGTGGCCAGCGCTGAGGGGGCGTGGTCACGTGTCGCCACCCGCCCCGGTCCCGCATGGGCCCGGCCGGTGCCACCGGCCCCGCACCGGGGGGGGGGGGGGGGGGCGGGGGGGGGGCGGGGCCCCGGGAACCCCGGGGGGGGGGGGGGGGGGGGGGGCCGGGCCTGCGGGGACCCCCCTCCCCCCTCCCCGAGCGCCGTCCCCGGGCCCAGCGGCCGGTACCGAGCGCGGCGGCCGGGCCCGCCCCCGCCCCCCCCCCCCCCGCCCCCGGGCCCCGGGCCCCGCCCGGTGCCGCCGCCCCTCCCCCGCTCACCGGGCAGGTGCCGGGCGCGGCCGCTCCGCCTTCCCCGCGCCGCTTCCGGGGTGCGCCCCCCCCCGCGCCTGCGCACAGCGGCCCCGCAGCGCGCCTGCGCCGCCGCGGAGGGGACGATGGGAGTTGTAGTCCGATGGACGGGGGAGGAGGTGGAGACTCCGCGCATGCGCGATGAGCATAAGGCATCCTAATGCGTCCCGACGCATCCCAACGCATCCCAATGCATCCTAACGCATCCCCATGTATCCCAACGCATCCCAACGCATCCCAATGCGTCCCAATGGATCCCAATGCATCCCAACGCATCCCAACGCATCCCAGTGCATCCCAATGTATCCCAGCGCATCCCCATGTATCCCAACGCATCCCAATGCAACCCAACGCATCCCAATGCATCCTAACGCATCCCAATGCGTCCCAATGGATCCCAATGCATCCCAACGTATCTCAACAGATCCCAACACATCTCAACGCATCCCAATGCATCCCACTGCCTCCCAATGTATCCCAATGCATCCTAACGCATCCCCATGTATCCCAACGCATCCCAATGCGACCCAATGCATCCCAATGCATCCTAACGCATCTCAATGGATCCCCAAAGCATCTCAACGCATCCCAACACTTCCCAGCATATCACAGTGCATCCCAATGCATCCCAGTCCATCGCAATGTATCCCAGTGCATCCTAACGCATCCCAATGCATCCCAAGTATCTCAACGCATCCCAATGCATCTCAACGCATCCCAACACTTCCCAACGCATCCCAGTGCATCCAAATGCATCCCAACTCATCCCAGCGCATCCCAGTGCATCCCAACACATCCCAATGCATCTCAATGAATCCCAACACATCCCAACACATCCTAAAGCATCCCAGTGCATCCCAATGCAACCCAACCCATCCCAGTGCATCCCAACGCATCCCAGTGCCCCCTCCCCGTTCATTCCACTGCACTCTCAGCGCCACCACCTGTATTTTTAGGGTTCAGACCTGGGGACCCCCCCCGAGACCCCCCCCCAGCACCCAGAGGTGTCATGGACCCCCCCTCCACCCCACCCAGCACCCAAAGGTGTCATGGACCCCCCTCCAACCCCCCCAGCACCCAAAGGTGTCAGGGACCCCCCTCAACCCCCCCAGCACCCAAAGGTGTCAGGGACCCCCCTCCAACCCCCCCAGCACCCAAAGGTGTCAGGGACCCCCCTCCAACCCCCCCAGCACCCAAAGGTGTCAGGGACCCCCCTCCAACCCCCCCAGCACCCAGAGGTATCAGGGACCCCCCTCAACCCCCCCCAGCACCCAAAGGAGTCGGGGACCCCCTCTCCACCCCCGTCCAGCACCCCAAGACCCCCCCCAAGGCATCGGGCCCCCCCCAGGACCCCCACAGCACCCAAAGGTGTCAGGGACCCCCCCTCCACCCCCCCAAGACCCCCCCAAAGGCCACGTAGCGGCGGGACCCCCCCGGCGGGACCCCACCCCCAAAGTATGGGGACCCCCCCAAGACCCCCTCCCCCCACAGTCCATGGGGCCCCCCCCATCCCCGCTGCCCCCCTCCCCCCCCTCAGCAGACGCTCTCGGCGCCCTCCTGCCCCCCGGTCCCGGGGGGGGGCGGTGGTCGCTGCCCCCCCACGGCCACGTAGCGGCGGGACCCGAGGGGGGGGGCCCGGGGGGGGCGGCGGGGGGCGGCGAGGCGGCAGCGCTGCCACCAGCGGCGCACCTCGGCCTGCACCTGAGGCACAGCGCCGCGCAGCGTCCGAACGGGGAACGGCAGCGTCCGAACGGGAGCGGCAGCGTTAGAACGGGAACGGCAGCGTTAGAACGGGCAACGGCAGCGTTAGAACGGGGAACGGCAGCGTCCGAACGGGCAACGGCAGCGTTAGAACGGGGAACGGCAGCGTCCGAAAGGGAACGGCATCGTTAGAACGGGGAACGGCAGCGTTAGAACGGGGAACGGCAGCGTTAGAACGGGGAACGGCAGCGTTAGAACGGGAACGGCAGCGTTAGAACGGGAACGGCAGCGTTAGAACGGGGAACGGCAGCGTCCGAACGGGAACGGCAGCGTCCGAACGGGGAACGGCAGCGTTAGAACGGGGAACGGCAGCGTCAGGACGGGGAACGGCAGCGTTAGAACGGGGAACGGCAGCGTTACAATGGGCAACGGGGAACGTTACAACGGGGAACGGCAGGGAACGACAGCCTCACGACAGGACACGACACGGACCCCTCCCCCCCGTAGCACCCCAGTACCTCACCTCCTTGTTCACGAAGCAGTAGAGGACGCTGACAACAAGGCCCTGAGGGGGTGGGGTATATCGCGATATATCGTGAACACCCGCCATTGCAAGAGCCACCCCTCCATCGCACCCCCAATGGCCATTCATGTGTCATATCCCATAACCCATACCCCATATCCCATATTCCAGATCCCAAAACCCATATCCCACACCCCATATCTCATACCCTATATCCCATATCCCAAATCCCACATCCCATACCCCATATCCCATACCCCATACCCCATACCCCATATCCCATACCCCATACCCCATATCCCGTACCCCATACCCCATATCCCGTACCCCATATCCCATACCCCATACCCCATATCCCATATCCCATAACCCATATCCCATATCCCATACCCCATATCCCATATCCTGTATCCCATACCCCATATCCCATATCCCATACCCCATACCCCATATCCCGTACCCCATACCCCATATCCCATACCCCATATCCCATACCCCATACCCCTTACCCCACACCCCACACCCCATACACCATACCCCATACCCCATATCCCATACCCCATATCCCATATCCCATACCCCATACCCCATATCCCATATCCCATACCCCATATCCCATACCCCATACCCCATATCACATACCCCATCCCCATACCCCATACCCGGTACCCCACCCCCTGTACCCCACCCCGTATCCTCCTCCGTGCCTGGGACGAGGACAGCAGCACTTGCAGGCAGAGCCGCGCCAGGCGCAGGGACCCCCCCCCGGGCCCGTCCCCAGCCAAGGCAAAGGCGACTTCGTGCACCCCCAGCAGCGGGATCAGCGTCAGCGTGGACCGGGCCAGCCTGGGGGGGGGACACGACACGATGGGGACCCCGGGGGGGCGACGGGGACCCCCCCAAGGAGGACATGGATGGAGATGGGGACCCCGATGTTCTCACTGACCCCAATGCCCCCACCTGACCCCAGTGTCCCCACATGACTCCAGTGTCCTCACCTGACCCTGCTGTCCCCATGTGACCCCAATGTCCTCACCTGACCCTGCTGTCCCATGTGACCCCAATGTCCTCACCTGACCGCACTGTCCTCACCTGATCCTGCTGTCCCCACATGACCCCAATGTCCTCACCTGACCACACTGTCCTCATCTGATCCTGCTGTCCCCACATGACCCCAATGTCCTCACCTGACCGCACTGTCCTCACCTGATCCTGCTGTCCCCACATGACCCCAATGTCCTCACCTGACCACACTGTCCTCACGTGACCCCGCTGTCCTCGCCTGACCGCGCTGTCCTCACCTGACCCCAATGTCCCATGTGACCCCGCTGTCCTCACCTGACCACGCTGTCCCCACGTGACCCCGCTGTCCTCACCTGACCCTGGTGTCCCCACGTGACACTTGGTGCGCCCGGACCTTGGCCACGAGGATGCGGACGATGCGGATGAAGACCACAAAGTTCACCTGAGGACATGGAGGCAGCGGCCGTGACACCCCCCTGGCCCCTAGCACAGCCCCCCCATGGCCCCCCCATAGCCCCCCATGGCCCCCCCGTCCCCCCATGACCCCCCTATGCCCCCCCATGTCCCCAATATCCCCCCACATGTCCCCCCATATATCCCCTCCATATCCCCTCCATGTCCCCCCATGTCTCCCCCATAATATCCCCCCGATGTCCCCCCATATTCCCCCCATATCCCCCCCATACCCCCCCCATGTACCCTCGTATCCATCCCCATGTCCCCCCCCGTCCCCCCACCCACCGCCACGGCCGCCAGGATGGGGCACCGGATGATCCACCACACGGCCGCCTTCTCGTTCCTCTCCCAGCAGCTGCCATGGGGCCCGGTCACCCCCGTTGGGGACCCCGAGGAGCCAAGGGGGGGGGGGGCATGGAAAGGGGGGTGGGGGGGGGGTCTGGGGGCCTCACCCCTCATTCTCGTAGAGGTACCGCACCACCACCCATGGCACCACAAAGAGCAGGGGGGCACCTGCAGGGGAGGAGGTGGTGGGGATGTGGGCTACGGGATCTAGGGATATAGGTATGGGATATGGGATATAGGGTATGGGATATGGGGTGTGGGATCTAGGGGTATGGGATATGGGATATGGGGTATGGGATTTGGGGTATGGGGCATGGGGTATGGGATATGGGATATGGGGTAGGAGATATGGGATATGGGGTATGGGGTATGGAATATGGGATATGGGATATAAGGGTATGGATTATGGGAAATTGGGTATGGGATATGGGATATAGGGATATGGGATATGCAATATGGGATATAGGGATCTGGGATATAGGGATATGGGATATAGGGATATGGGATATGGGATATGGGATACAGGCATACGAGACATGGCATATGGCATATGGGGTATGAGGTATGGGATATGGGATATAAGGATATAGGATATGGGATATAAGGATATGGGATCTGGGATATAGGGATATGGGATATAAGGATATGGGATATGGGATATAGGACATGGGTTATAAGGATATGGGATATGGGATATGGGTTATGGGATATAGGGATCTGGGATATAGGGATATGGGATGTGGGATATGGGTTATGGGATATGGGATCTGGGATATGGGATGTGGGATGTGGGATATAAGGATATGGGATATGGGTTATGGGATATAGGGATCTGGGATATGGGATGTGGGATGTGGGATGTGGGACCCGGGGCTCACCCCACCCGAGGAGCAGGAATGCCGGCAGGCAGCGCTCTCCGGAGAAGGCCGCCAGCACCAGCAGCTTGTGCAGGAAGAGCCCCTCTGCCAGCAGCCACCCGTAGTTGGCTCCCACGCAGTACTGGGTGACGGCCTGGGCCAGGCGGCACCCGGCCACCGCCTGCACCGGGACGGCCCCGGGACAGCGCCATGGGGGGGGAGCAGGGGGGGCAATGGGGACCGAGCTCCCCCCCCCCCCCCCGTTGTGTCCCGTATCCCGCTGCATCCCAGCATCCCCCCCCGCCCTTTGGTACCCTCCGCACCTCGAGGCGCAGCCCCTGCAGCGGGTGCGCGCTCCCGGCTGCCAGGCGGCGCTGCAGGAGCGCGTCCCGGGTGAGGATGGAGCCGGCGCGGAGCACGAAGGACACGAAGAGGTTGGCGTGGATGAAGTTGCGGGTGCAGCGCAGGCGCCTGGGCAGCACCGGGGGGGGGTGGAGGGGGTGGTATCGCCCCATAGCGGGGGGGTCACATCACCATGTGCGCCCATCACTATGGGTGTACCCATCACCATGTGCGCCCATCACTATGGGTGTCCCCATCACCATGTGCGCCCATCACTATGGGTGTCCCCATCACCATGTGTGCCCATCACTATGGGTGTCCCCATCACTATGGGTGTCCCCATCACCATGTGTGCCCATCACTATGGGTGTACCCATCACCATGGATGCCCATCCCTATGGGTATCCATCACTATGGGTGCCCATCACTATGGATGTCCCCATCACCATGTGCGCCCATCACTATGGGTGTCCCCATCACCATGTGTGCCCATCACTATGGGTATCCATCACTATGGGTGCCCATCACTATGGGTGTCCCCATCACCATGTGTGCCCATCACTATGGGTGTACCCATCACCATGGATGCCCATCCCTAAGGGTATCCATCACTATGGGTGCCCATCACTATGGGTGCCCCCATCACAGGGGGTACCCCATCACTATGGGTGCCCATCACCATGGGTATCCATCACTGTGGGTGTCATCATCACTATGGGTGCCCATCACTATGGGTGTCCATCACCATGGGTGTCCACCACCATGGGTATCCATCACTAGGGGTGTCCCCATCACTTTGGTTGCCCACCACTATGGGTGCCCATAGCTATGGGTACCCCATCACTATAGATGCCCATCACTATGGGTGTCCCCATCACTATGGGTGTCCATCACTACGGGTGCAGGTCGGTACCTGAAGAGCAGCAGCAGCAGCAGCGCCAGGACCAGGGCGACGAGGGACAGGGAGTACCCGACGGTGTAAAGCAGCCGGAGCTGCTCCAGCAGCCAGGCCTGGCGCTGCGGGACAGCACCGGCACCGGGGCCGTGGGTCCATGGGGCAGGGACCAGGGGACACGATCCAGCACCATAGGAACACAGCACGGAGTTAATGGCATGGGATGGAGGGGCACAGGATGGGATGGAGGAGCACAGGGTGGGATGCAGGAGCACGGGATGGGATGGAGGAGCACAGGGTGGGATGCAGGAGCACGGGATTGGATAGAGGAGCACAGGATGGGATGCAGGAGCACGGGATTGGTTGGAGGAGCACACACGGGGTGATGGCACCCGCAGAGCCCGGGACCTGGCACAGCGCACGGCACAGCTTGACATGGACCAACGCAGCGCAGAGCTGCACGCTCCGGCGCATCCCAGCATCCCCCCGTTCATCCCACGCTGCCTCATCCCAGCGCATCCCGGCTCATCCCAGCACGGGGCACGGCAGCGTGACACAGCCCAGCCCGGCACCTCCACCTTGTGCCGGCACACCATAGCCCCCCATAGACCCCATAGCCTCCCATAGAACCCCACACCATCCCCAGAGCCCACATACCCCCCATATCCCCGTAGCCCCCATACCCCTCATAGCCCCCATACCCCCCATAACCCCCATAGCCCTCATAACCCCCATAGCCCCCCATACCCCCATAGACCAATAGCCCCCCATAGCACTCATACCCCGAACAGACACTCATACCCTCAAAAGCCCCATACCCCCATAACCCCCATAGCCCCCATAACCCCCATAGCCCCCTATAGCCCCCATAGACCAATAGCCCCCCATAGCCCTCATACCCCGAATAGACACTCATACTCTCAAAAGCCCCATACCCCCTCATACCGCCCATACCCCCCATAGTCCCCATAGCCCCCCATAGCCCCCATACTCCCCAAAGCCCCCATGCCCCCCATAGCCCCCATAGCCCCCCATAGCCCCCATAACCCCATAGCCCCCCATAACCCCCATAGCCCCCCATATATCCCCCATAACACCCATAGCTAGCCCCCATACCCCCCCCCCATAGCCCCCATCCCCATACCCCCAATAGCCCCATACTCCCCATATCCCCCTATATCCCCCATAGCCCACATACCCCTCCCATAGCCCCCCATAGCCCCCATACCTGCAGCGGCTGCTCGGGTGCGGGGTCCTCGCACTGTCCATGGTCCTGCCACGGCCGCCCGGTGCCGTCGCTGACCCAGCGCCCGTCGGGGCCGCAGCGCCGGAACACGAACCCCCCCTGCACTGTGCCCGGTGTCACCCCGCGGGGCTGCCCCATAGATGTGACCCCCATCTGCCCCCACCTTCCTGCCCCCCATCTCCCCCTGTGTACCTCGGTGGTGCCAGGGCAGGTAGGGGGGGCAGGGGACGCTGGCGGTACTGTTGGGGGCCGCATCCCCCCAGCATGCGTAGAGGTCGAAGCTGCGGTTGCAGACGGGCCCTGGGGGGGGCTGGGAGTCAGAGGGGGGGTGGGGGGCACCTTGACCTCCCCCCCCATTGCCGGGGCTCACCAGGGGCAGGGGGGTCGAGGCGCAGGTGCTGCTCGCAGGCCTGGCGGTACCGGAGCCACGCGGCGAGGGTGGCGTGGGCAGAGCGGTCCTGTGGGACACAGGGATGGAGGCATTGGGATGGAGCCATGGGGATGGAGCCATGGGGATGGAGCCATGGGGATGGAGCCATGGGGATGGAGCCATGGGGATGGAGCCATTGGGATGGAGTCCTGGGGATGAAGCCATGGGGATGGAGCCATTGGGATGGAGTCCTGGGGATGAAGCCATTGGGATGAAGCCATTGGGATGGAGCCATTGGGATGGAGGCATTGGGATGGAGGCATGGGGATGGAGCCATGGGGATGGAGCCACGGGGATGGAGGCATTGGGATGGAGGCATTGGGATGGAGGCATTGGGATGGAGTCCTGGGGATGGAGCCATTGGGATGGAGGCATTGGGATGGAGCCATGGGGATGGAGGCATTGGGATGGAGCAATTGGGATGGAGCCATTGGGATGGAGGCATTGGGATGGAGGCACTAGGGATGGAGCCATTGGGGGTGTAGCCATTGGGATGAAGCCATTAGGATGGACACATGGGGATGGAGCCATTGGGATGGAGGCATGGGGATGGAGCCATTGGGATGGAGCCATTGGGGATGGTGCCATGGGGCCACCGCCGTAGGGACACCCCTTGGGGGCATAGATGCACACTTGGGGGTCCCGGCTCTCACCTCAGCCCCACGCAGGACCCGGTGGAGCAGGGAGGGGGCCATTGCCCAGTGCCCCATGGCAACAGCTCCTGCGAGGGGTCAGCACCATGGGGATGGGGGAGCAGCACCACGTGTCCATTGTGCCCCCCCCCCGACCCCCCAATGGCCTGTGCCCCCCATGTTCCGGTGCCCCCCAAATCCCTCATTCCCCCCCATATCCTTTATCCCCCCCATATCCCTCATTCCCCCCAATATCCCTTATCCCTCCCTATATCCCTCATCCCCCCCATATCCGTTATCCCTCCCCATATCCCTTATCCCCCCCCGTATCCCTAGTGACCCCCCCATCCCTTGTCCCCTCCTCATCCCTTATCACCCCCTTTGTCCCCCCCATGTCCCGGTCCCCCCCCCGGACCCCCCCGGTCCCCGGTACCTGCTCCTGGCTGGGCTCCGCAGCCCTCGGGGCACCGGCACCGGCGGCACCGCCCCGGGATGGGCGGGGGACGGGAGGGGGGGGGGGTTTGGTGGAGCAACGTGACCCGGGGCGGGGGGGCACCCGGCAGGGTCCCATTGTCATTATGGGGGTGCCATTGTCACTATGGGAACCCCATTGTCACTATGGGGGTGCCAGCATCACTTTGGGGGTCCTATTGTCACTATGGGAACCCCATTGTCACTATGGGGGTGCCAGCATCACTTTGG